GTAGTGCTTTTGTAGAAGTACTAAAATTTACGCGAGTAATCGAGTGGCTGATTACAGAGGTCACTGGACATACAATCTCAAAATATATAGGCAGTGGTCAATACTTGTACCCAAGTTCAGGGTAGACCATGTAGAGGTAGTGAGGTTAGGACTGTAGAAAGTAAGGTCAATCGTGGAACGAGACCAACTACTAACAAAAGTGGGTGTTCGTGTGTTAATGCATGTTAGCTTATACTGTGAAGGCAGATCCTAATGAACTGGCACGCGTTATCTTCATCGTCTTTGTCATCTTCTGTTTCGCTGACAGAACACGTGCAGTTTGGTATAAAACACCGTCGTGATATTGAAAAGAAAAATTCAACCAACTGCAAAGAGCGGGGTAAATTTATCTGCATGAATGACGTATATCGAAAAAAATGGCAGCATATCCACGGAGTGAATGATGGAGAGTGGAGAATGATGATTCGTTCGTCCATTCGTTCTTGCTTCCGTCCGTCCATGCGTCCGTCAATGTGACTGTCCATGCGTCCATCAGCCCGTCCATGCGTGCGTCTGTTCGTGCGTCCGTCCCTGCATTCGTCCATGCCGCCACCCCTGCGTCCGTTCACGCGTTCATCCTGCATCTGTCTATGTGTCCGTTCGTCCATCTATTCAACACACCAAGTACCACCATCTCGCATCTTTTCATCATATATTCCCCATATAGAAACACCGCCATCCAGCGGACATTCCAAGGACAAAACGAGAGGTGGCACACGCACACTTTCTTACGGCTTGTGCTTCGGGTCCACTTCCCACCTTTAACCACCTCGAGTTCATGGTATATACTGGTTCACTGTATTCATGGCACTGCGGCACAATGCTCGCTAAACCTTTCTAAAACCAAGGAGGTTACGCCCAGCGAGTATAGCGTAGCAACCTTTTCCTGTCAGATAGTGCTCAATGTACATGCCAATGGCTGCTAATGGGAAATGAGAGACAGGAGAATCCCGCTTTTACTTTCTTACGGCTTGCGCTTCGTATCTACTTCCCATTTTAACCACCTCGAGTTCGTTCATGGTACATACAAGTTCATTGTATTCATGGCACTGCGGCTCAACGCTCGCTAAACCTTTCTAAAGCTAAAGAGGTTACACCCAGCGAGTATAACGTAGCAACCCTTTCTTGTCAAATAGTGCTCAATATACATGCCATTGACTGCTATTGGTGATCGCAGCCTGCGCGTTAACTAAAAGCCGAATGCTCCTGTCTCTGATTCCCCATTAGCAGCCATTGACATGTACATTGAGCACTATTTTGTATTGTTCAACAACGCACAGAAGAAGTCTATCACTGGCATCACCTTGGAGGTCAAAATGTTATACTTGTTACATACTACGGGAGACGAACGGGTGCCGCTATAAGAAGTTTTGCCCCTAAAAGTAAGGTGTATAGACCATTTTTCCACGCCCGCTTGGATCGGGCGCACGCGGCGATGTTTCTCCGGCCGTTCCATTCGACGCGCTCGCCATTGAAAAAACTTAATTGTAGAAAGCATGGTTGTTGGGGCGAGTTGGTACCATATGACTCACATAAAAAAATTGGCCCCATATCTGCATGTTAATCTGCACATGTTGTCGAAAGACAATAGTCTTGCGTATTGAGACAGTGAATAAACATTTATTTGATGTTTCGTGCAAGAAAATCGGTGAATGGTATTATGGAGGCGCTACGTTATAGTGCCTCGAGTGTACAGCGGAGGCGAACAAGCGCATCAACTCACGTGACACGTGAGACATGAGCGTTATCTGGCAGATTTCTTGGAAAACGAAGCGCGCGGCTCTGAGACGGGTGTGTGCTCGTCTCAGAGTATAGTATAAAGGCACACATACAAAACATTGACGTGCTGTTATGGTGCTTCAGATATGCGCAGTAATTGCTTTATTTATTTGAGAATCGCACAAGTATGAACGCTGAATCTTGACCAATATTGGTAGGCGCTGCGGAGGGAGTTGGCCGTTTGGTGCCGTTTCAGGTATCGGTAAGGGCGGAAAACAAGACCAATCTACAGACAGACAGACAGACAGACAGACAGACAGACAGACAGACAGACAGACAGACAGACAGAACGACAGACGGACAGACAGACAGACATACCAAAAGTTTTCCGTCGAAGGTCCACAAGAAAAGCTATCGTCTTTGAAAAGTCACAAAAGTCAGTGCTGCTGACTGTTTCCTTCTTTTCTTGTCCGCCGTTATTGGCACTGTTTTTTATGTGAATAATTGTAGAAATTCCGCCGCGTGACACGACGCGGCGCTCTTCTTCTACTCTCCTGTTCAGTTCAGACTGGCACAATGAATGGACGTGTTTTTTGAGCGCTCCCGATCGACTGCACAAATAAGTGATTTCGCATTTTTCGAGCTTGCCATTATAACTAATAAGGCAGCAGTTAAAATCTTTGTAGCATTTATTACATTGTACGGCTTTTTCGGGGATAAGTCACCAGGTATTTAATAGTTTATGTGCGTTTGTGTTTGTTATCTGAAATACACCGATTTTGGGTAATGTTGTTCTTCTGCCGGTTCTGCCTTGTTCTTCTGCAGAAATGGGTCGAGTCACTCTCGCATACTATTTGCACCGAAGTGTGCTTCATAATTACGCGTTCGACTGAGATTCAAACCACCAACCAACAACTGTCATATTTAGTGCTTTATTACAATTCTAAAACGTTCTAGTGGAAATGACGAAAATTCAGGAGAACTTACTTTCACCTACCGAAAGGAAGATAAAGTACATATGTTATCTGAATGTGTGACGTTTTTAGCTGCATATTTCTATATCGGCAATGACGGTGGCAAGTCGATCTGGTCATTGTTAAAACGAATCGCGTGCTGCGATAATAAAAGAAAAGGAACGCAAATTAGTGGTTGAGTTTTGTTTGGAGACAAAAAGACGCCCTTTTCACTCTTTTTTTTCTTAGAGTGCTGCAGACATACAACAAAATTTTTGAGTGCGTATGACGTGGAGCTTGTTTGAATCAGCCAGTGGAACTATTCTCGTTGTGTCCAATCCAGTCGCCTGATTGCTGGGAGCGCACCACGTGTTTTCAGTCTTTCTTGCGCAACGTCATTTTTACGCTACGCCGCTTTCACAAGTCTCGGCACAAAAGAAAAACGGAATGCGCTTCGCCACGATAAATGCTGTCCCAAAGATCCGCTTTTAGACACACACCTCTGAGGTCATGCATGGACCATAGCTTCCAGTATATAGTATACATGCATGGACTCTGTTCACGTTAGCCCTTCAGTTAGGTTTAACGCGGCCGCCAGCCTGACGTCCATGGAAGGTCCGTACGCATTCCTTGCAGTGCTCTTCAAACATCTCAACACATTCATGCGCTCAGATTGTCAAGTTTTTTCAAGAGTTCTGTTACCTTAAACTTCGTCCACTTTTTTTTTTCATGGAAACGCGCTGGCTGGTTCGGTGCGCCGACATCGTCAAGCGTGCCATGACGTCACAACTCACCTTTTTTGTACGTAACGGAGCGCGCTCCAGTAAATAAGACATGTTCACAAATTGGACAATACGAGAATAGCTCCCCAGCTGAACAAATCATCGTATCACATGGGCACAATTCTCGAGCACTGACAGCGCGAACAACACAGTTCTTGGTCCGATTATCCGCTTAGATTTCACGCCACTACAACGAAATATCCGTTTTTTTTCTTATTTTTATTCCCAATTGTCTAGTAGGGACATCTGACTAATCATTGCAGAATAACCCACGCAAAGCTATCGGTGGCAAATGATAGCTGTGATGCACATTTGTATTTAAAATGCGCATGCGCTCTTGATAGCACCTAAAAGGTTTGTAATGCTCCTCGAAACCATTTCTATCCCAACAAACTAGCGAAGGATTCGTTGTACTGTTGTAAGATAACACAGCATTCATAAATACAGTTGGCCGCAGTGCGGAACGTGCCAGATCGGACTGTGCTTTCGCTAAGATCGGTGGACGTCTGCGATGTCGTCGCACTATGAGTTGCCCGCCAACGCCAGCGAGGACATTCTTAGGCTCAAGATAGACGAAGTGAAAGGCAAGCTGCTGTCGCTTAGCATGTCGAATTGCATCGTCGCGCAGCCGGAAGGCCTCCTATCTCTTTTACCTCGTCTTCAACATCTTCGGTATCTATCTTGCGTTGCATGTCCCCTCAAACCGAGCAACCTTTCGAGCACTTGCTAACGTCACTGCGCAACGTTACTCACCTGGAATTTTCACTCATGACAATGAAGGAACACGACGCAAAAGAGGAATTGTCAAGCATCCTGCAGTTGAAGAAAGTGCCCAAGGAAAAAAGAGACCCATGTTCGCAAGATGTACGCCGAGGTCTGAGAGGATAACATCCAAGTGCTGAAGGAGCTTGTGCAATACTGTCCGCACGTTACGGATTTTCACCTTCACTTTGTGCACTGTACTAACATCGACGATGGGATGACAGTGTTTATGGACGTCGCTAAGAATTTTCCAAATCTCGGTATATTCACAACCACGTGCGAAGCGCAGTCTAGTCCAGTGACAGCGATCACATCGCAGCTGCTGGACTACCACATTCATGGCAACTTGGTGTACAGGACGAGACAAAAACACTTCAACTAAGCTGTTATCAAAAAACTGCGTGAGTCCATAATACCTGTGCTCCCGGATGAACCAGTCGTTCTTGTGGCCGTAGAGAGGATGGATCTCAATGTTTCCCTACCATTTTTTGCTCGTGTGTTCAACTGGGGCAATTAGCAGAGCCTTGGCATTTTGTATTTTTTGCCTCAACAAAAGAAACCCACGTGCCCGAACGTTGGCGCTCCGCACAGTGCCGCCTCGCGCCTCTTCTTCGGCAGGCTTTGTAACATAGTCGAGCTCAACGTCAACTCCTTGCATATCGACGACGGCATTGACTTCACGAAGTTGCTGGATACTCCCACTATGTTGCGGCTGCGTGCATTGTCCCTTGCGCCCTGCGTAAAAGTGGCGCGCTACACCGACTGGCCCTAGGCACTAGTGACAACAAGGATCTGGACGTACGCCTTAACTTCATCGGGTGCCACATGAGCTGCACATATTGCAATAAAACACTCTACCTCGACCCTGAAGACATCAGCGCCTATGGCATCGGCTCGGGCCGGCTCACGCTAAGCAATTTGCTGAGTTTGGCTTCCTTGAGCTTCCTTAAGAGCTGTCCCGTGGCCAACCTGCGTTTCATTGACGTCTCCGACATACCTCGCTTCGATTTCAAGGCACTCGCCAGTGCCGTGCACCACAGCAATACTCTTCGTTCCCTGGTCGTTAAGCTTAAAGCCATCGATTGTGCCACAGAGTACCTCACGGTAAGACGTCTTTCCCTGTCTCCCCTTGCGTCAGTCGGGTATTTTAGCGAGAACGTTAATTACCGTGCAAAAACGATGCTGTCACTTCCCTCCTTTTTTTTCTTCATAAACATATCGGGTGCACCTTAAATCTCAGAAACACCTTTGTTCTACCTCCACATCAGCTTTGTTAGTGATTTCACATTTTCTGTTCTCCCTTGCAGACGTGTCTGTGTCCTGTCAAGTCACTTGAACGCGTATGCCTCCTGTCCAAGACGGAGCTGCTGACTTCCAACGCGGAACGGACAGTGGAAGTTATGGCAGGCCAGCTACCATCCATCTTGTACGTGCACATCCACTGTGCGGACTCGGAAACGGGCAGGGACACCAGGCGTGACTTGGATGCGCTTGCGCGAAGGCCACGCGGGGACTCACTCTCGTCGAGGAAAAGTGATGTTGGGGAAGCCATGCATCATGTGCTCCACCCAGACGTTCATAGCCCTCGTAAAGCCATGCCGCCGTGACCTGTAGACAGTGCTGCGGTCAACGAGCCTGTGTGGTCATTGCCAGACCAGCAGCTCAGTAGTGCTATAACGTCATTTCTATCTGCCAAGTGTAACAGGAACTGCCGTAGACAAGAAACTGTGTCCTTCGCGATGCCATAGTTAACCTTACTAACTTTTCTCCGAGAGTCTTTCAGCTAAACATCGTTTTCATTTTATCATCGAGATTGACGGCTGTTATTGGCATACATTTTTTTACCTAATGATTCAGTTTCATGTTTTCTTCGATGGCATGCGTGGTTATCCCGGCGTTTACACACATTATACGTGTTTCACGTAGAAATAGAAAATTGGCGCCTGATGCCACGCCGTATCATTGCATTACAATTTTATTGTTGAATTCCTGATACGCCACTCCGGATGTATTGCTGCAAAAAAATTTACACTTTTACTTCTTACGTGTCGTCACGGTGCGCGCATGAATAGACGAATAATTTCAAAGCCACCAGGGCATGACACAAGCCTCCCATGATGCAACAATACCTGCAAGAACTCCTTTTTGTGTTCTCCTTCGCTGCTCAAGCGCGCAAATGGATTACTGCGAGGAATAAGATTTCGTCTCCATTATACTGAAAACTAAAGGCATGCCCCGCCGCGGTGGTCTAGTGGCTAAGGTACTCGGCTGCTGACCCGCACGTCGCGAGTTCGAATCCCGGCTGCGGCGGCTGCGTTTTCGATGGAGGCGGAAATGTTGTAGGCCCGTGTACTCAGATTTGGGTGCACGTTAAGAACTCCAGGTGGTCGAAATTTCCGGAGCACTCCACTACGGCGTCTCTCATAATCATATGGTGATTTTGGGACGTTAAACCCCACATATCAATCAATCAAACTAAAGGCATTCAATCAGTCTCTGGGGCTCTTGCACGTCACAAAGCATGCATTTCGGGCTGTTACAGGGAACCGATTTCTAGCGGACAATTTTCTTTCAGCGACTGAACACGATCGACATAGATTTCGCTTCGCAATTTTGATGTCTGCATATTCTGCAAGATTCACTCGCACTTCAGCAAACATCAGCTCTGATTTTTGTCGCTGTAATTGAACTTGTTAGAATATGATTACAAACGCCTGCCGTCTCTTGTTTGTCCACTTGGACCAAAACAGTAATTTGGGTCAACATTCGAAAAAAGGTTTCAAAATTTTTGGCACGTTCTGCGCTCACAATACTAAGAAACTTATCGCGTGCACACGTGAGCTAAATTATACGAACCGCGTGACCAGGCTACTGGCGAGCCAACTGCTTGTGAGAGCATTGTTCAGGGTTGACTTTTCCGGAAAAATTCTCACGACATCGGACTGCTCGCCGCTAGACGGCAAACCTAACAGACGGCTATGGTTCGTACACTTTTGCCCATTGGTTATCATTACATTATCGAACAAACCTTTACGAATGTTGCTGCAGTGACAGTAGGCACCTCAACGTTGGCTGATTCAGTAGATCATGTACTATAAGCGTCAAATGAGAGCCTTCGCGATAGTGCAGTGCGCGCCGTTCAGTTATCACCATGGACAGGTGCGCGCATATATGCCTGCTTGTCCGAGGTGATAAGTGGATGGCGCGCACTTTACAATCACGAAGGCTCACCGCTGTTCGGGTTTCACTTGACGCTGATAGTACAGGCACGTGCAATATGAAAGTTATTTTACGAGCGTCGGCCTGCCTAACATTCCAGGAGCTTAGCGGCACTTTCGAGGGGTGAATCTCCTTACGCCGTGGGTCGTACGTCCCGTGTCATCACAGTAGCCACTTTTCAAGGTCATAAAATTGCATTGCATGTAAATAAAAGCGATGTCAGAACATATCTACGGAGTGAATGATGATGAGTGAAGCGAAGTGTACTTCCGTGTGTCCATCTGTCAGCCCGTGCGTCCGTCCGTCCGTCCATCAGTCTCCACTGTCAACTTTGATGATCGACTAGGGCGAATAATATCCCTGCGGAGAGCTTCGCCCCACCCGTCATCATTCATGTCACAGATATGCTGTGATTTTTTAGCAGCAGACGCCTGACTCTGTGGTAAAACACCCGCTTGCCACCAAACAACCCTATTCGATCCCCTAGCGGCATATTTCGGAACGGTGAAAATTAAGCTATGGATGGTCTAGAACTGGAGGCGCGCGCTCGTTTCCTTTACGGCCTGAGCATGGAGAGCTGTTTCTACCTATCGCCGCAATCTCACGGCAGCGCTCCCAGCCAACTTCGCCGCGGGCCGTTGCGGAGGCTAGTGTGCGAAAGAAATGCTCATGTTCCTACCTGCTGTGGCACCTCCTAACGGTACCAATGAAACAAAAACATGGTAGCAAGCCTATATGACAACTCTGGTCTCGAGAGAGCATCAACGTGGTCATAGCAAAGCATCTTTTGTTCGTCTTCAATGCAATATGTTGAAATTCTCGATGTGCGTATGCACACGTTTACTGGATTTCTGTTCGGCTTCTCCTCCCAACGACTCCAAAATGGCATGTTCGGGGTCTTCTGGCTCTACCTTAATTCATTTGGAAGGCCTACTTGATGGAGCAGAGTTTCAAACTCCTAATTCGTTTTTTTTTTGTCGCGGGGGGGGGGGGGCTCAATTCACGGGCATCCTTGAAATACCGTTGCCACCGCACCGGGAGTAAGTTTTTAATATAATCCGTTGACATAGTCAAAAGAAAATGCTTGCGGCAAAAAACTATGGTAGATGAAGACTTGTCAATAATTGTGAGATTTTCCCGGGACATGTTTTGCTGCCACTTCGCGCATAGTTCTTCATTGGCAGAGAATGGGTGAAATGACACGTCGGCAATCTTTCCAGCCCACGCCTTGCAAAACGGCACATAACAGTACACCATGCATGTTCGCGCTGTGCGAATACTGCACCGGAACAGCAAGCACACTTGAAAGTCACTTTGTAAAAGCAGGCAGGCAAGAGCGCGGAAACAATAAGACTGAGAAATTCACCGTGACACGTATATTTAGGTGAGGCTCATGCGGCAAGAAGCTACATGCCAAATAAATAATTGTTTGGTTATGAAGATTGGAAATAGGCACCTAATGTCAGTCTGCCTAGGCGACACGGCGTATTGCCTGAGGTTAGCAATACCAGGCTTCATGAGTAAGCACTCTCAAAGTAAAATGGCTTCTGTACGCTCCTCAGTGATTTCATCACATTATCACGGTCTCTGAGGACACGTTTTCAGAAATCCACATTTCCGTTCACTCGTTGGTGTTCATAACATGCATTCCAAATCCGTTCGTTCATGCAGTCTCCTCTTTCCCGAAACCACCCACAAAGCAGCTCCGACGTAGTGTGGTGACACTCGGAGAGGACAATATGAAGAAGTCTTAGCTAGTTTATAGCGGGCTGACTTTATTGATATCAAAGGAAGTCGTACAATCACAAGGATATTCACTTAATACAGAGATTCAGTGCCGGGAGCCGCAAGTGGTTTAAGTACCCACGCTCTTGTACTCCTTTGCGCCCCCTGCTGCGCCCATGTTTGTCCGCTAAATGAGCGTTCGAGGTGTACACCAAGATGAGATTTTGGTCCCGCACCATCACGACGGTGACCAGCCGCTTCGCGGTCACTCCGACGTGGGCGATGGGCGTGCTACAGGCCCCATTTTCGAGGAAAACGGCGGCGAGGGACAGCTGAGCCCTGGGCTTGAGCACAACAACGAAGTCCGTTGCTTTCGGCTTCGGCAGAGGTTGAGGCTGCCACACAGGCCTCTTGTGTCCCCGCTGCAGGCCCGCGGAACACGTCGCAGGCGGTGAAAGTGTTGAGGAGCAGGCGCCAGCATCAGCATCAGCAGCTGCTGCCAGGGACGCCGCGTTCGCGGAGGCCACCATGTGTGCGTTGCTCGCCTGCTCTCAGCGAGCGACCGCGGCAGCAAGCGTGGTGCTCTTGAAGGGTTGGGACAGCTCCGGTCTGCTGTTCGAAGGGTGGTTCACATCATGCTGTCAGGATAATATCCAGTTTGGGTGTCCGCCATGGTTACGGCTGCGGTGCTGGGCCGGCTGCCTGTTCTACCGGGAGGTGCCATGGCTATTAGGTCGAACGACGCCACCGGCGTCGTCGAGACGTAAGTCGCCCATGAAAGACGTAGAAAAGCCCACCTCCCGAAACAAGGTATCCAAAAGAACCGGATCACATTCCGGTGACGGTGGTGAGATTTTCTCGGAGGTTCGAAGAGGTAGTCCGAAGTTCCGATCGAAAATCGTCGGAGCCAGTTTGCTGCACGACCTACACGGTTGCGCGCTTGCAGTGCTTCCACTCAAAACGGAATCAGCACCCAGCGTTTCCTCAAAGCTCGACGACACAGCTGTGGCGCGTCATCGCTCAAAAAGACTGCCCCGGTTGCCAGTCGATGACTTCAATATCGTCTTGCGTCCGAGTGCGGGCGTAGATATGGCCAAGTACAACGATGGAGAGTTACGAGTGGTTGTAGTCGCCAACAGCGGACAGGACTCTGTGGTTGCCGCGAAGATCTTGTGTGCACCAATCTGGCCAAGAATAATTTCACCGTGTTCACTTCTTGCGCCAACCGAGTTGCCAACTATACAAAAATACGAGAACTCACGCAACGTGGTAAAAAACTGGGATTTTATGAGTAAATTGCTCCCCCGGACGGGGCACGGGCAGGAATCATCTACCGCGCTTGGAATAGTGAGTTGCCTCTCGACTTGCTTCATGAATTACGTCGGGCGAATCTCCTTCTACCAATAGTTCAAGCAAGGAACATGGGGCGTACCTCACGCTCTGTGCTTATTCACTGCATGGCTCAGAAGCTTCCTCCACCCATCAAAATGCTTGGCATCCTCTACGCCGTTTTCAACTTTGGACTGAAGGTGAAAGCGTGCCTAAACTGCAGACAAGTTGGCCACCGACGAGATGTATGTCCTTTGACAAATCACCTCACTTGCTCAAGCTGCGGACAGAAACACCCGGAGGACTATTCCTGCACTCCGCAGTGCGTCATCTGTGCAGACGCTCACAAGACGGGCGACAGGGCATGCAAACAATGCTTTCAGCGTGGCTTCAGCCGTCTCTCTCGATTATAAAGGCCGCAAAAAGAGCACCAGCAGGAGCAGCCCAAGTTCCAGCTTGAGAAGGAGTTTCTTCCAAGTATCGACAGTGAAAATCGTAGCAGCAGAAGCAAGAGTCCTGGACGAAACCGTAGCAGCAGAAGCAAAGAGTCCCGGACGAAACCGTCGCAGCAAAATCAAAAGCCTTAGACGAAGTGCATCATAAAGCCGTGACTTCAGCACCAAACCCAAAAAGGTGAGATAGGCAAAGCAAGCCTTCTGCTCCTGTTGTATG